CGTTCGTCATGGCTCTCAAGCGATGGCGGCACTTCCTTCTTGGGCGTCGTAGGTTCACATGGGTCACGGACAATAACCCATTGACCTACTACAAGACGCAGGACACGGTGAGCAGCACGATTGGACRGTGGATGTACTTCATCGACCAGTTTGACTTCACACCGAAACACGTTGACGGCCTCTCCAATCGCGCAGCAGATGCACTTTCGTGACGACCTGATCTTTGCGCTATGACGCATCACGCCTTTGCGTTCGACAAGGACCTCCAGCGACACTTCATCAGGGGCTATCAGTCTGACCCAGAGTTTGCTACGTTGTATGCGCAGCTATCTTCGGATCACCCGCCGGCCAGCCACTATCGCATTGCCGACGGGTACTTGCTCCTCCACTCGAGAGGCAAGGACTTACTGTGTGTCCCACGCGACCGCCGTCTTCGGACTCGCCTTCTCGGCGAGAATCATGATTCGCGACTCGCCGGCCATTTCGGAGTCAATCGCACGATTGCACGGCTTCGACAACGATTCCGATGGCCCGACCTCATTTCCGATGTCATGCGGTATTGCGATTCTTGCGAAGTTTGCCGACGCAGCAAACCCCGCAACCGCAATCCCTATGGCGAGTTACGCCCGATGCCTATCCCCCGGGAACCCGATATCTCCATTGCTATGGATGTCACCGGTCCGTTTCCTCGAGACCGGCTCGGGCACGACGGCATCCTCACGGTTGTGGACCGATTGAGCAAGTACGCACGTTTTCTTCCTTGCAAGTACTACTCCACGGCTCCCGAGCTGGCACGCCTCTTGCACACCGGTTGGATTTGTGGCCACGGCGTACCCGAGGACATAGTCAGCGACCACGACACTCGTTTCATGTCGACTTTTTGGACCTCWCTCATGCAGGAGTCCGGCACGACGATGAAACCCAGTTCGGCTCGGCATCCACAGACAGACGGGCAAACGGAGCGGGCACATCAGACCGCTCAAATGATGTTTCGTACGCTCATCCGTCCGGACCAGAARGATTGGGTTGACCGCCTCCCCGACATCGAGTTCGCCTACAACACTTCAGTGCACCCGGCGATCAGTGTGACTCCATTCGAGTTGCACCACGGTGGACGGAAAGGCCGTATCTTCGCTGATCTTCTCCTCCCTCGACCAGCCGACATTGACGCTGCTTGCTCTCCCGCTTCCGTCCGGAAGTACAGGGAATTGTTGGCTCAAGCCCGCACAAACATGCAAAAGGCTCAAATCTGCATGCACCAGCAAGCCAACAGGCGCAGCGTACCATGTCCCATCCGCGCCGGAGATCGAGTTTGGGTCTCCTCGGAAGAGTTTGCATTGGAACAGGGACATGACGACATTGTCATCAGACTTGATTCCGGGATACAGACATTCGTTGAGGATTATTTGGGACCTCTGACGCAGACTTGGAGTTGACGATATCTCCCATCTTCTCCTCTCCCTCTGTCTCTTCCCTTCCCCCTTCGTCTGTGTATGTTGGGGTCTGGCGCTATCTATTCTATGTGAGCGCCAGCCCTTCACGCCACTGTATGATGATGATAAATGTCGGGACTGTACTGCAACATTGATTGAGTCGGATCATTGATAAGTCTTCCGCTCGCCATCTTGTACTTTGAAATGAAAGGTCGGTCCTTGTTATGTTTTGCATGATCTAGTATGCAACACGTACCCAGCCACACACCACACATGCCCCCACCCACCCACGCACACACGCCCCTGCCGCCCACCCACACCCACCCACGCA